GCCTGCCCTCGCCTCCGAGCCCGGCGGGGCCCGCTGAGTGACAGAGCGGCTGAGAAAAAGGACTAAATATATCCTCGAAAAAAACCCGAGCCCGGCTATTTAGCCAGCTCAAGACTCCCCCCGCCCCCGCCCCTGCATCCACAGCCCGGGGAGAGCAGCGCGCTGTTTCATGTGGCGTTTGCAAAGGAGAACTGAAAGGACGCCCTTTTGCTTCCGAAATCCAGGCGGGGAGCAGCCCCGGGGCGGCCGGGATTGACGCCGAGGCTTTCCCCGCCGCCTTGTCTATCCTATGGATATCGGCGCTGAGAGCCGGCCCCGGGGAGAGGAGATCTGTACTTGATCCAGCACCATATCATTTCAATGCCTCATCTCGCCCAGGATTGCCGGAGCATCCTAGGTATCGCTCGAGTTGTATGCCATGGGCTGTATTCAGAGCATTAGCTGCAAATCCAAAGTTTTCCGGGAAAGCATCGCGGTGATTGAAGTCAAAGCGTCCATCGACCCCGTCCCCACCAACATCGACGAGTCGTCCAGCGTGGTTCTGCGGTACCGGACGCCCCACTTCCGAGCCTCTGCCCAGGTGCTGATACCTCCCATCCCCAAGAAAGAGACCTGGATTGTAGGCTGGATTCAGGCATGCAGCCACATGGAGTTTTACAATCATTATGGAGAGCAGGGCATGTGAGTATTTCCAGTGGCAGAGAGAGAGTGTGCATGCCAGCGGGGGGTGAGGAGGAAGCCACATTTAACCCATGCAGGATTAGTTTGGGCACTTCTGAAATGAAAACAGCACTTGTTCCCTTTCGAGAGAGAGAGAAAGAGAAGGGCCTGCCGAGGAAGGCAGCAGGCGTTGTGCCGCTGTCCGCAGTGGGAACGAAGGCAGGCCCTGGCATCGGGCTGGCGAGCCAGGCAAAGCCTGTGCCAAGCCGATCAAGGCGACATGGGGCTTCCAGCCCCACGGTAGCCCCCAACATCAGGAGTCCTCCCTGCCAGCAAGGGCCTGGCCCGCTACCTCCCCTGGTCCGTGCTCACTTTCCATACTTTAAATGGGAGGGGGGGCATGCTTTCTTTTAAAGGCTGCAAGGGGGGTTGCTTTTTGAGAAATCAGCATGCCAGCAAATGCAGACACTTGTAGCGTGCGGCTGTGGGAAGCCGGGTGCATTGCTGCTGCAGTGTGCTGTCAGCAGGAAGGAGGGCTCGACGTTACTCCGGCAGCAAATGCGATCTAGCGTGATGTGCTGGATCCTGCTGGCTTTGCCTTGCTGCAGTGGCCTGCTTGCAGGGTCGAGAGCAGCAGGATCCAGCCCCCTAGCCCTTCCTGGGAGGGGGGGGGCGTTTAACCTTTCCGTAACCTTGGGCCGAGGTTAAACACTGACATCCTCCCGCTTGTGCTCCCTCTAAGACCAGGAAATGAGACGGGCTGGAGAGGGAGGGCAGAGGGGAAGAAAACAGGTCACCCCCGTGCCATGATGTCGGTAGACAGAGAGCTCGCCCGAAACAAAAAGTCCCATTCAAATGCCACCACCTGGCAGGAAGGGCATTTTTGCACCCCTCCCCTGAGCAAAGGATGCTGTTCCAAGCCTAAGCTCAGCGGTCGACTGAGGCTCCAGCATCTGATCACATAGCTCGCTCAGCTGACGCGTGGCTCGCGGCGCCTGATCGTGACTAGTAGCAGCCTCGTGGGGCAGCGGAAGTCTTTCCGCCCGAGAGCCGGCTGCTTTGGAAGGCGGCATTAGGCTCCAGAGCAGCAGACGGGCTGGTGGCTGGACACACCGGGGCTGCCCGGGCCCTGGGTGAGAGAGGATGAAAAGGTCACGTTGGAGCAAGACTGGCTTGCTCATTGCCCAGCTGTGGGCAAGGAATGCAGCCCAGTGGCAAGGGGGGTGGGGAGACGGAAACATAGCATAGAGCTAGGGAGGAAATAAGTGCCGTGACTTAATAGAGAGCCTTCCTGCTAGGTGTGAGCATCCCTCTGCTACACTCAGCCTCCCAGTAACCTCCCCCCAGCCCCTTCTAGCAAGCCGCACGCAGGCTTTGCTCACACAGGTGCCACAACCTGACATCTCAGACAGAGCGAGCACCTGTCTGCAGGCCGGCGCCATGGGGCAGGCAAATGCCAAGGAGCCAGCACAAGTGACAGACTGTTCCCAGCTCCTGCCTCGTTTCCTCACTTGCAGCAGAAAGTGCCTCGGGAGTGAAAACTTTAGCACCTCTCAGCTGAGCCACAGCCAGAGCCAGATCAGGCCGGGGGAGGAGGGGGAATGGATACGACGGATTAATTTTCAGAGCACCCAGAATGGGCGCAGAGCCGGTTTGGTCAGGATGCATGCTGTCGCATGGGGTTTTGCCTGGGCAGAGACAGCAGAGGAGGGCCCAGCAGCAAGAGAACAAGGCAGGGGGAGATGCTCAGGAGCCTTAGGTGCCCAGGGGCGCCCAACTTCCTTAGGCTGAGCGTGAAAAATCCCAGAAGCAGGAAAACCCACTGGTGCATGCACGCGCCATTGGGTACTCGCTCAGGAAAGCAGAGGAGACCGAGCGGAAGAGTTCTGCTCCCAATTCCCCCGTCAACTCACCGCGCGAGCTTGGGCAAGTCACGCAGCTGCCCCAGGCCTCAGTTTCCCCCTTCCTGTGAAAGCACTTGGAGAGCTAGAGGAATGGTTCTCCGTAAGAGCTGAGGGTTATCATCAGAGCCACCTGGATTAAGCTTGGGGCACTTCTGAGGAACAATGCACTGTCAATCAGGACGCCATGTCTATTTAGCGATGAAACGGATATTCAGAAGCGCCTCAAGAGTCTGTCTGGTGGGGTCCGCCACAGTTAACTGGTTCTTTTTTAAAACCATTGAAACACAATTTGCAAATCAGTTCTTCTCTCTGTTCCTCAGGGGATTAAAAAATAGACATCTTCTAACACATTAGACTATTATGTCATGCATTAAATACATTATTAGACTGGGAGAGCTTTTTTTGGGATACACACCCCTATATACAGAGAGGGAGGTGGCACAGACATCTGAATGAGAGACAGGCCAGATCCTTGGGTGGGGTAAATTAACATCTTCCCATTGACTGCTGTGGAGTTGCATTGATTTACACCAACTGACTCTCTGGCCTGAGTAATTCTCCCTGCTGGAGAGGGACAGCAGGAATAAGCTGTTGCAACAGACCATTAAAACAGGTTGCGATAACGCGGCATTAAAAAAAAGAAAAAAAAGTGGCCATCAGCTGGAGCAGGCGACTTCCCCCAGGCCCTGAGGGATTTCTGCTTTTAAACTGCTTTGCTGTTCTGAAATGGGTTGTTACATCCAAGCTGCCCATTGTGCCGAGGCCAGAAACTTGGGAGCAGATGGATCCCTACATACCGTCAGGAATAGATGGACGCGAGATGCATAGGGAATTGCTGCAAACACACACACACACACACACACACACGGACAACCCCCCAGTTGCTGGGGGGTAGGGTAACATGCCAAAGGTTTTACCTCCATCCCCTATACAACAAAAAAAAAAGATTTGGAAAAAACCTTAGACACAAAGCTGCTTTTGCTTTGGCATCTCCCTGCTGAACCAGAACCCGAAGAAAAAGCCACAGTGCGCGAGACCTGGGAGCCAGAATGGCTGCTGGCCCCGTCCTGTGACACCTTTGTGGGCAGGACTCCTGCAGGGCCCAGCTCGGGTATTATTGCTCCCGGTGCCTAGTCCTTCATCCCTCAGATGCCCCCACTGACTGCAGTGAAGAGCACTACTACTCAATGGTAAGGATCAGGAACAGGCTGCGGAAGTGAGGCCTGTGCAAAGCCTGGGGTTTAGTTAGCACGCAGGCTCCTTAGGCCGGGGACAGTCTCTGTGCTGTTTGAATAGTGATGGGACCATTCCTCTAGAGATGGACAATGCACTAACAGTGTCCTCCTCGTCCCATGGCAAAGTGCAAGAAGCAGTGCAGACGGGAATAAAGCAGAGACTGTAAATTAAATTAGGCTTCTCAAATCCTCGGTTAGGAACCAGGAGAAGTTTTCTCTCCGAGGCCCACTGATGGAAAGCTCTGCATAAGAGCTAGGCATTACTGCAATATCTCTTTAGGGTGCAGGACATCTTTCTTTCAAAAGATTGCATCTTCCAGGTCCTACAGCAGGAATACGATGCAGCTCATCTCTACTAAGAACCTCATTATTAGGGAGAATAAATGCCCAAGACCCCAGGAGGAGAAACATGTTTGGAAACCAATCTGCTGGAGACACAGCACCATTTTCATTGGGAATCAAGCCAACAGTGGCTTCCTTACACATTCATGATGGTTTCCTCCAAACCGTAGGAGTGGGCATAGTGCTGCTGCCCTTCCGCGAAATCTTCTCCAAACCTCTCCCTCCTGCACGTCTTGCTCCTTTACCAGGAGCCTGGATGGAATTGCTTTGTGAGCCTCAAGTGGACGAGAGGTTCGTGGTCAAGGTCAGTTGAAATGGAAGACGTTTGGGATATGGAGTGTAAATCCATAGAAATCCCGATCACAATTACACCCCTCCTTTGCCAGCGGGGAATGCAGCCTTGGTCGGCCTCACTCACCCCGCAGATCTCACTAGCTGGAGATGCTGGTCAGGACCAGTACAGTGGGAAGCCCAGGCTGGCTTTATATGGCTCCCAAACTGGATCCCTTTGGTGCTGACAGCGGTCAGATTCACAGGCCTGTCTGAAAGGTTAGCTTCAAGCGCACATGCCATCCTGCTGGCTGCAAAAGGCTGCAGCCTGCATCGCTTGGATTTGCTGCCACTGTGCTTGATATGCTAGTCTGACAGCTTCCTGCTGAGTTTGGGGGTGGCCGTCCAGGGGAACCGGGACAAGCTGGGCTCTGGGTCCTCTTGCTAGGGAACAGGAGGAAAAGCCTGAAAGGGAAATGTGGAAGGCCAGAGCCCAGATTAGGAAGGTGTGAGGGGCTGCCAGCCTGGACATCGTTGCCACAAGAGATGCCCTCTCCTAGCAGCAGAAGGATCCGGGGAGCAACAGCCGCCCTGAGCTACCCCGCGGGTGGGTTCTGGGGGACCAAGCAAAGCAGAAACACACGCACGTTAGCGCTTCGGGCCAGACCGTGGGGTCTGTACTGTGCTGAATCTCTGCACTCAGGTGGGCTCAGGGTCCTTTTATGCAGCTTCCCTGGGGAGGATTTGCAAGGCGGTTTCTGAGCCTTCCCTGGAGCAGGGCTTTAGCATAGGGTAATGGCAGCATCTCCTCCTGGGCCCATCCAAACCCCCAGCTGTTGGGGAGCTGCTTCATTTAAGACAGACAAAGCAACAGACGGTAGCAGGATGTGGCATCTGTCACCTCTGCCAGCTGGTTTCCTTTTGCCTCAGCACAGGGGTCTGGGAAGGGCCTGTGTTTCCCTGTCACTAAACCCTGTGACCAGGTGTGACGTGTATGACCGCGTAGGGCTGGCCAGGCTTGAGGCATGAGGCATCTTGCAGTGGGGGTTGCAGTCATTTCCTTCCCACCAATCTGTCTCTCCTGCTCTGCAGCATCCAGTTCAGAGTCCTGCTCTGCAGCACTGCCCTGCCAGACCCCTCGCCCTGCCATGCCTCAGTTTCCCTGCAGAGCTCTGCTGATTCATCTCTTCCCTGCCCACAATGTGCTAACTCAGGCCCTGCACAGCCCTGCTGAACAACTCCATCCTGGTAGGACCACTCCTCACAAGATGCTGCAATGATTTAGTAAATCAGGACTCGTAGTAGAGATGATGTCTTTTATTAGACCAAGAAGGCTTTTGCAAAAAAAATTCTTTAATTGCCAGCTTTTGGGCACAAACACTCTTCATCAGGCATCAGGTCATTTATATCATCACAGATCCTCGCAGGAGGTGAGAGACTTCATACCAGCTATGAACCGACTGCCCGGAGGAGTTTTCCATTTTTTGACTCCTCCGTGAAGTCCTATGAAATATGAACTTGCATTTCTACCCAGGAGGACTTTTACAATCTTTTCTCCAATGCCTGATGAAGGGTGTTTGTGCCCGAAAGCTTGCAATGAAAGAATTTTTTTTGCAAAAATCTTGATGGTCTAACTAAAGATATCATCTCTACTACGAGCCCCGATTGCCTTTTCCTCTAGATCAGGGGCAGGCAATTATTTTGGCAGAGGACTGCTCATTGAGTTTTGGCAAGCCATTGAAGGCCGCATGACAAGCAGCCAGGGGCAGATAAACATTAATTTTTAAAATTTTTTAGGGGCCCAGAACAGCCTGGCGGGCCACATTTTGCCCACCTCTGCTCTAGACCAATACGGCTACAACCTGGAACCTGCCACAATGATTTAGTGGCTTTGAGATGCATGCAAATTATCCATCTGGCATTAAGTAGGTACCCCCCCACCCCAGTCAAGCACCATTTCCATGGCAGCATCAGCTTGACTATGTCCCCGCACCCTGTGGCCAGGGTAGACCGAGGCAGCTTTGCATCGGGTTCACAGCTCCCACAGTAGCTCACATCCTGGCCCTGTGGCGACACAGCCGCTGGCTTGGTGCCGTGAGCATGTCCATCGTGGATAGGACCCCCCCAGGAGACCATCATGCCTCGGCCCCCGGCCTCGGCCAGGCTGAGCATCGGCAGTTATCTGAATGGAAAGTAATCCTAAACCATCTGCTGAAGGGCAGGAAAGGGTGCCCATATGCCATTTCAGAGATGAGCCCAAGCAGCAAGGACTAAAACTGCTGCTGTCTAGTGTGACCTCTGATTCATCTCTCCTTGGAGGGCTGAGTTCATTCAAAATCCCCAGAGCTTTTCTCTCCTCTCAGCCCTGGTGCAGGAGCGCGGGGGTGAAGGAGAGAAATAACTCCTGGCTGCTCTCTGTTTGAGATGATACAATATGAATCGATCTCTCCTGTAGATGAGGGGGTTGTGACTGGAGGCTGTTTAGGGGCTTCCCTTCTCATGGCCTCAGGGAAAAATCCTCTCTCAGGGAAAGGACTCCCTCTGCCTGCTGCCTCTAGGCTCAGGAGGAGAAGACCTGCAGACGCCGCCGCATTTTTGCCAGCAAGCTTGCAGCCTGGAAAGGCCAGCTGTGAGCAAATCCAGCCAGTCCTGAGGCTCTGCAGACATCCAGAATCATTTAGGCCTTCATCTTATAAGCAATGTGCAGTTTTTAAGTACCCAACTGGGGCATTGTCCGATTTCCAGAGCACCCGCTCCCTCGAAATTAGCACCCAGTGGAGCACGCGGCATGGCGGAGCTACTTGTGAAGGCCCTGATGGTCAAGATTGGTCTCCTAAATTAATACTTAATTGGGTTTACTTTGGTTGCATTTGCCATTCTGCAAGCCCCCACAAATTTTCCTTCTCTGTCTCTCTCCTGACCAGCAGCCACCCAGTACAAAGCCTGCTGCAGCCCTGGGAGGGCAGGTGGGATGTTAGCCAAGGAAACCAGGAGAAGCTTATAATACAATAGAGAAAATCCTGTAAGGTATTAGAGTAAAAAAAAAATCTAATGCAAAATAATGAAAGAACCTGTGCAGGTCCGTGCACACACTAAGTCACCCTCAGTCTGGTCAAGGAAGGGAACTTGCATTATCTTCTTTGTTCATATACCACATTCACGTTTCCCACACTCCCAACAAATAGCTATTGAAAATTGGGGTGTATGTCTTAAATGATGGAACTGATTCTGAACAATTCAGTTAAAAGCAAAATTACCCTCCCCCTCCAGGTTTCCTTCTGTCCCAAAATGAGGTGCTTATTTTATCTTGGGAGGCGGTATGGTATGCGCGTAGATACATTACTCCTAATTTAAGGGTGGGGGGGAGGACTGAGCTAGGGAGAGGGTCGACGACTTGCCCAGTCAGTGTCAGAGCATGGCTTAGAAAGCTGACTCCCGGCTGCCTCGGCTTCTCAGATTTAACTCAAGGTTTGTTTTAACAGTGCGAGGTAGGACATGTGCCAAGCGACAGGGAACACACAGACGGTTTTATATCAGCAAGTGTGCAGTGTACAAAGCAGCATCAGCCTCGTTGGCCCCATTTTGATACAAATGACTCTACAACCCACTTCAGATTCAAAGCCCGGTTGGAGCTTGCGGTCCAACAAAGCAGATGCATTTAAACTTTGGGAAACATGGCTGTTCATTGGATGCCCTGTTCGTTGAATGTTTGACTCCTCTTCCCCAACACTTGCCACTTAGAGAGGTCTTGAAAACTCAGAGTGCCTTGTGTTGCTCCAGAAACCGTTGTTACCATACCGTCTCCATTCAAATGCTCACCCCAACGTGTAGCAGCTGAATTCAGAGGAAAGGGGCACGTTGTATGCGACAACTTACGGTATAGACACAAGATGCAGGGAACTGCAGTTACAGCTGCCCTGCCCCTAAGCCATCCCTTAAAAATCCAGCCCTGTGACTGTCTGCACTAATTAATTAATTCGTTATCCACAATTCTTTGTTGGCTCTGACAGGTCGAGCTGGGAGCTCCCGGACCTGCTGGATGGCAAGATCCAGGCCATAAGCGACTCAGACGGTGTGAACTACCCCTGGTACGGAAACACCACGGAGACCTGTACCATTGTGGGTCCGACAAGGAAGGAGTCCAAGTTCAACATCAGCATGAACGACAACTTCTACCCGAGCGTCACATGGGCCGTGCCCGTGAGCGAGAGCAATGTGACAAAACTCACGAGCATCTACCGGGATCAGAGCTTCACCACCTGGCTGGTGGCCATGAACACGACCACCAACGAGACGGTCACCCTGCAGACGATCAAGTGGCACATGAAGCTGGGCATCGAGGTGAATCCCAGCAGACCCCTGGGGCAGCGTGCCAAGCTGCAGGAGCCCTCTGCTCAAGAGCAGCCCCAGGTCCTTAGCAGGAACGAGCCAATACCACCCAGTGCCCTTGTCAAGCCCAATGCCAATGATGCTCAGGTACTCATGTGGAGGCCAAAGGACGGACCACCGCTGGTGGTGATACCTCCAAAACATCGGTCCTAGCAGCCTGGCGTTGTGGCACCAGAAGGGAGAACAGAACCACTTCTATTTTAAACGTGTACGCATATAACCTAAGCAAAACCAAGATGCACTTTGTATTCATTCAACAGAAATGCAACCATTCTACCTTCTCCCATTGGGACGGATCTCACTGTGCTAAAGCTAGAGAGGAGACCCCTGCTGAAGGGTCTGTCTCGTCACTGGATTTCTACAGGAAGAAACCAACTGGACTTTATTTCCAGGCCCGTAGCTTTCTTTTCTTCCCTCTTTTCATTACCGTTTGAACTTCAGTGTCATTAGCTCACCCAGATTGTCCAGAACAAAAGAAGATTTTTATTTTAGTTCATTTGGTAGAAAGAGCTTTTTTTTTGCCCCCCCACACCCTGCCCTCTTTTGTGGAGAATGAAGCAAGCTCCTGGAGCACAAAGCCGACTATTTATTTATGAGGAGGATTATTTTTTAAAGTTATAAAAGGTTCCGAGTTGCAAACCCAAGTCATGCGGCCTTATGTAGACTTTGCTTTGCATTGCCAAATTTTTGCCTTAAAGCTATGTTTGAAAGAAAACCAACAAAACAGACAAGCAACAACAAAAAAAACCCCAACCAACCCCACCAGGCAGAATCTCTTTTCTACAGAGTTTCAGGGGGGGGCAGGGAGACACGTTGGAACAAGGGGTAGATGGTCCATAGGTCAAAGGGAGAGGGGGAAAGGGTACGATCGTGGCAGACACATGATTCAGATGAAAACCTTCCTGATTTTATGTATGGATCAAGGAAGCCTGGAAATAAACCCTGCTCAAAAGCCATTGTTTTCCTCCAGTAGCAGAAAGGGAGCTTATGTTTTGCACAGGGTTGCAACGCAAGTACCAAAGCTTGTACAGACATGGCTATGGGTGCGAGGTGCTGGGTTTCTCCCTGCTTGGTAGAAAGTTAGTCCAGGCCTTATACTGCTTACGCCATCCAGTCAGCCCCTCTCAGCATTAGAAGAGGGAGCCATCGAACGGGTGGGGACAACGGAGACGGGACACTCGACGGGGAAGACGGGGTTGTTCAGCCTGGTCTGTCTTGAGTGGATGAAAACGTAGGGCTCCCTTGCGAGCCTGCCGGCTGTGTCTTTCATGGCAGAGCAGCGGAGGGGTCACACACGTGCTGCAAGGGATGCGGGGTCCCTTTCTGCCATCATTTACTCCTGGCAAAAGGGCAGTAAGAGGAGCAGGGGTGGAAGGATCCTTCTGAAGTCATTCGAGCTGCACGGCTATAAACAAGGGCAGATTTTACCTATTAGCATCTATCTGGCAATGTCCATAATTCAGGAAAAGCCTTATCTCTAAAAAACCCCCCCAAAACAGACAAAAAAACCATTCAGAAAACACCTGTCCTATGCACTGAAAAGAGTCACCTCTGACTGTCACTTCAGACCTCAGCTAGGCTCAGAGACAACCAGCCTCCAGAACGGGCTCAGGATCAGCTTCCCCATCAGGTTATGAATGGGGTACAAGATGGTGCTGAGGCTGTCTGGTTAGGCTGGGAGCACCCACGTGCCAGGAGACTGCATGCAAGAAGGTGCCGAAAATGCAAGCGTTGGAGGGGAGGATGCGAAAGGAAGGACAGTCTGCTTAGAGCAGACGTCTGGGCCTTAAATTGTGATGGTGGGAGGGCGGGGGCGTTTAGACAGCCGCAGAGATAACCACAGCGATGTCTCAAAAAGAAGGCAGCCTTCAAAGAGCATTTGAAAGGAAAGGGGTGCGAGATGGAGGCAAGTTCATAAGCAGGGAAACCCACAGGGTGGCAGTAGCATGGTCCAGAGGACAGGGAGCAAGAGACCTGCTTTCCGGTTCCAGCTCTTACTGTCTGGAGCCAGGCAAGGCGCTTCCCCTCTCCTCTGCCCCTGTGCCCATATTCAGAAGGTGACAACTCTTCCTTTTGTTTGTGGATGGCCTGGACAGCCAGGGACGAGGGGCACAGCCTGCCCCTGCCGGGTCCCTGCTCAGCTGGTCCATACAGGTCTTCCCATTCCTCCGTTCCTGTACTGACATTTCCCTTCTGGCTTCGCTGCTCCCATTCTCCATGCACGATCCTTAGAGCTGAACAGCACAGCCCCTCGCAGCCTGCCAGGTTGCTCCCGTCTTTGCACTCAGACAACTGACTTGGGCAACATGCTTGGGACACCCTCTCCTCCCCCTGCACTTGGAGTCCAAAACCTCCAAAGGCTGCTTCCAAGACTGAGCCTCACACTCAAAAACGGCACAGGGAAGCCTTCGCCAGCACAGAGGGACCCTTTGCTCCTAGTAGTCAAGGGGTTGCTGGCCATTTCCCCGGGGAAATGCTCCTTTGAGGCACAGAGCTGGTTCTTAGAAGCCATTTGCGGATGATATGGGTGGATCTAGCCCAATGGCCAAGGAAGGCTCAGATCTAGGCTCTACGTCTATGGAGAGTGATGATGAACCAATCTCACGAGACAGTCCTAGGTTTTCAACAGTAACCATCTCTCCCATTAAGCTCCCATTTCTTACGCCCAGTTGGCTCCTACTTATCGCTTAGCCTATACAGACCCCTAAGTCCGGACTGCAGCCGCTCCCATGCTATGCGGGTGGCAGACAACGTGCAGCTAGATATCAGGGAACGTTTTACACCCGTCCCCGTGGGGGCCTAGTTGCCAACAGTCACGCAGCACAGATCTGGCCCGCTTCGAAGAGCCCCCAGTTGGGTGGCAGCGGTGGGCTGCTCTGGCATTTGTTCTGATCCTGTCTTGGAGGTGCTAAGTGTTGGCCGATGCCTCTGGCATCAGTATGGATTGCAGGTTTTCAGCGCTTCTATAAACAAGTCAGACCCAATTGTCTTAACGAGCTGTCTAAGCAACAACTTCTCCTTACTCAGCACAAGTCACATTCGGAGAGGGGGTGGGGGAGCCTGGTCTCATTTCGTAACACTGGATGTGGTCTCCGGGTGCATCATATAAGCCTCATTCCTCACTCCCACAGCCCATCCCCAGCTCGCAGGATTGGAGGCACCCATGTCACTTGATGGGGGCCTTCTTTGCTAAATCACCCTGTTGCACTGAGATCTGGCTGAGCAGTAAATACGAGCATCACATTTTGCATCAGAGGGCCAGGGCTGCTATGACCTCCCCTGACCAGTTCCCTCCATCCCCTTCCCTTCTTGGAAACGTGCCCCCCTCCTCCCTTGGTGTTGCTGAGCTCCGGGGTAGAGCCAGGACGCAGCCTTGCAAAGGCTTCATGCTTTGCAATTAAAAGCAGTGGTTTTCTAAAGCTGCTTCATTACAGAAAGTGCCGAGGACAGATTGATCGAACACAGAGGGGATGACGGCTGGAAATGACAAGTGCTATAGACACCACTATTTGTCTGGCTGGTTAATAACTAAATAGTGGTATAATTAGAGTGGGGATTAATACCATTTAGCAACCCAGCTGGGACTCAAGTGCCTGGGGATCCAGGTTGTGACAGTCGACAGAGGTGAACGCGCTCTCTCTCCATTAGGCCACGCTGCAGTCAAGCCACGTCTGGAAAGGTGCGAGGGAGGCACCAGCTGCCTGTTGCTGGCTACGTGGTTTCACGCAGCCCTGGGTTCAAAGCGAGCTCACGAGAGCAGCGGGGCTGGCAGTCTCATGCCCTGACTTGTCATGTGTGGGCAACTTTCCTCCCTCAGCCACTGCGCAGGCTGACGTCCTGTGCTGCAAGTGGTCTCTGCTGCAGGGCAGGAGGGCGCTGCCTTGGCCAGATGATGGCCTTCACAATAACCTCCCTTCTCCAATGCGCCCAAGGGAGGCAGGGCTTCATGTGGGCGAGCGAACGAGTGTCCTGTGCGGTCAGCGAAACCCTGATTCCACTTCTCGCTTCCCACCACCATTCAATGCACCAACCAGCATGGCCAGAGGCATGGGCAGCCCAACAAAGCCTCCAAAGCCACCAAGCAACAGTAGGGAAGGACAGAGAGAAAAGTCTGAGTGCTCCTGGGGACGGGAGTTACCCAAGACCCTGCGCTGGTCGTCTTTTAGCAACTCAGCCGCAGCAATAAGAACAGTCCTCGGGCTTGCAGAGACACTGTGAAAACCAACCCAAGCGGTACCAAGTCCGGATATGTACCAAGCGGTGGAAACACAAACCCTGCTTTTATAACGGAGAGAAATAAAGCAGAGTTTTCAAACAGGTCTGCCTGGAGTGGGCTGGATTTCTTTTATGGCCTACCAGCGAGAGGGGGGTTTGCCTTGGGGCTCCCGGCCTCTCCACAAACTGTGCGCCCCGCGTACAGCCTACGTGCTGTTTGCGTCTGTGTTTCCACCCTCGACAAAGCGCCAGACACATTGTGGGGAGCGGCTGCTCCAACAAAAATATATAGGTCAGCTTCCCGCACTCTGCTACAGATTATCAGGCCGATCTGTGCCTTGCAACAGAAGAGCTGCCAGGCTCATCTAGTCGGGAGACGGGTAGACACCAGCTGAGCTTCCCCACGATCTGGTTTTCTGACACGGTTTCCCGACCGGGCAAAAGGCTTGCCAGACTTTCTGCCCATAAATACTGCACCGCAACGTGAGAGACTCTCCCCTTACTCAGCCGCTGCTCCCTCCCTTGCGCGCCTTAAACCATCTCATTTGGAGAACAACCCCAGGGCTTTGAAGGGCATCACGTCAAACCATGGGAGTAACATTCAGCTGCTTATTCCTGCCCCGGCTCTCTGATTTCTCCCCTTCGGACACGCTTCACGTTGCTTGCCAAGAAGAAAGTCGGCGTCCAAAGACATGTCAAGGAGGGGGCTGGGGAATAGGCCAGCCCTGCCCCCCGGGGCACAGAGGTATAAGTGGGGCTCTTGGTGGCACCTCCATGGGTGCAGATGCTTGCTTTCAGCACCCTGCTTGTTGTGCAGGGGCCTCCCCCCACCCTCCCTGCCTCACTGGCTTTGCCCACTGGAAATGCGCTTTCTCCTCCAGTTTTCACTTCTTCTATTTCCAAAGTGCCTCTGCCTCACCAAAAATGTCAGGGCAGATATCCCAGATTTGGGTGGGGGAGAAGAGGAAAGGGAGGAAAAGAGACAGCAGTCAATTTCTAGCTGTTTGGGGCGACACGCACTCAAGCTGCTCAAGGTCTCTGGGCACTTACCGCCTGCCTAGAAGAGTCCCAGTGCTTCCCTCGACGGATCAGAGAGGAGAAGCTGAAGCCACTGGGGAACCCACTGCTCATCCCCCAGCCCCACTCTCTCTTTGCTGAGGGTAGAAAGCCTCATTTTAAGGCAACTGGAGCTCCCCAAGAGCCAGCCACCACCCACTGGTGACCACTGTGACTAGGAGGGACATGTCAATGGCTGGGCCAGAGCTCGTCTTGCTGCCGGGCTAGATGAAAATGCAGGTCAACAAGGCCAGTCTGGTCCGTGACCTTGGAGAAGCAAAGGCTGTGAGGAGGACCTGTTTGTGCCAAGCCGGTGGGCCCCCTTTCAACAACTGATGCAAAGATCAGCAGCTCCTGCAAGAGCACCGCCGCAGATGCCGGAGCACTGAATCAGTCCCACCCAGATCAGGGGCCTACTGTCACCCTGATCTTCCAACATCTCACAAATTCCTGCTGAGGTCACTGCCGAAAAACAACCATGCTACCAGAGAGGCTCTTATACCTCATCATGTGGCCAGGCACATGGATGGAGAAAGGGGAACCTCAACCGCCCCCAGCCAGGAGCCTGTAAACAAAGCTGGATCCGCTACAGACTTTCTGCAGGCGCCTCCCGTCGCAGCGACAGACACTACCCCTCTCCCCAGCCCATACGGCGAGTGTGGAAGCAGGGAGCTTCGCTTCAGATCCACAGAGGTTTGCGTGTCTCCAGCTCATCACTTCACAGCCTGGTTATTCAGTGGAGAGAGATGCATTACGTTACCTTATTCAGTTCCTTGCAGAAATGTTCCACGGGCCTGTTTTGGGGGGATTTCTATCTGCTGTCACAGCGCAGGTGTCGCTGCTTGTCCTCCTGCAGAGGTTGCTCCGATTCCTTGTGGTTCTTCAGGTCTAAAGCAAACGGCCCGGACACAGGCTGTGAAACGCAGAAGCATCGTTTTGTTTCTCCTTTTTTAAAGGCAGCCTGCTCCAGATGTGCAATGCTCTGCGCACAGAACGAGAACACAGCTGCATGAACAGCTCAGACCCAAGTTTCCACAGCAAGCCCACGTTACACCGTTTGCAACTTGCCCACCAAAGGTGGCACAGAGCTTGATCTCGAGTCGTGCCACTTCCAGCAACCGTGAAAAACCCACTAGGGCCTTGTGATGATGACATGAAGTTTCATAGTTTCATGGTGCTTAGGGTGGGAAGGGACCTAAACAGATCATCAGGTCC